CTTGCCGCAACACCCGATACGGTCCTTTCCACTGCGCAAGGAGCCCCTTAGATAAACCATGTACCGTAAGATGGGGAAAACGGACTAACACCAAATCATCCACTTTGTACTCCGTAGGTGGACGATGATGGGAGTTATAGCACTGTTGTTGTCCCACTTGTACGCGGCCTAAGTGTTCGGCAGACTCTGCTCGGACAAGTGGAAGAATGCTTATCAAATACTGATCCCATGACCTAGCAGAGCTCGTGGCAATCACGAAGGTAAACCCAACTCTGTTAGTAATATTGGATCATGACCATATAGAAGTTTATATGGTGAAGCACCAACAGAACTCTGCACCCCTGTGACATAGGCATACCGAAGAGACGGCAAATAACCATCCCAATCCGAATGCTGAAAGTTCACATACTTCGAAATCATCCCTTTGAATGTCCGAACGAGCCGTTCCACCAGACCGTCTGATTGTGGATGATAAGCACTCGTAAAAGTGTGGCGTATCCCCAACCGAGATGTCAAAACATGAAATACCTCAGCCATAAATGCAGGACCATTATCCGAAAGAATCCGCTCTGGACAAGAATGCTAGAACACCACTCGATTGAGGAGGAAGTATCCAACAGCAGTTGCAGAGGCACTAGCAAGAGCACCAACTTCCACCCAACGAGTCAAGTAGTCAGAAGCAATAATAACATACTCATTGCCAGCAGTCGATCGTGGAAAAGGTCCCATAAGATCAAACGCCACCAACTCAAACGGACGGGAAACTGCAATTGACTCCAACCGTCCTTCTGCAGCACAAGGGGGAGTATTACGAGCTTGGCACCAAACGCAGCTACGCACATACCGGATAATATCACGTCGCATCTCCGGCCAATAGAAAGACCTGCGCAGCTTCTCGGTGACACGACGGTGTCCCATATGCCCACCTAGAACAGGAGAATCATGGTAGGCATGGAGAAACCGTGGAATAAACACCGAAGGTACCACCAATCGTGAATGATCATCAGGATCCGTCCCCACAAAATAAAAAAGGCCATCTTCAAGGCGATATTGAGAATGTAAATGCCGGAAAGGCAAGTCATCAGCAAGTGATGTAGGATTCTCAAACCCATCTCGAAGCCTTCGAATCCACAGCTCAATCTTCTGAGCCTCGCGAACCTCCTCAAGAGAAGGCAGATCTTGCTCTGCACCCTGTGGACACTGAACGTCAAGGACAGCAACCGTCGACGGCACAGAATCCTCATCTAAAAAATCCACAGATGCTGGAACAATAGGTTCGTCAGAATGATGAGAAGTGAGTGAAGAAGGAAGAGGAGCTCGAGAAAGGGCATCAACATCAGCCATAGAACTCCCTGAGCGATGAACAACATCGAAATCATATATCTGAAGCTTCAAAGCCCATCGAGCCGTACGACTAACCAGGTTCTTCCGCTTCAATAATGAAGTAACAGCAGCATAGTCACCTTCAAGTAACGTCCGAGAACCATGTAGATATGCATGAAGTTTCTCGAAACCCCAGACTGCTGCTAAACACTCCTTCTCCGTCGTGGAGTAGTTCATCTCCACTGGTTGTAATGTACGGCTTATGTATGCAATGGGATGGCGCTGACCAGGCACACTCGAGCTCTCTTGCATCAACACACCTCCAAGACCAATGTCAGAAGCATCCACGCGCAAAATAAAAGGTCGAGTGTAGTCAGGATATGCCAAAACCGGAGGAGTTGTCAATAGCTCTTTGAGATCCACGAACGCCCGCTCACAATCCGGAGACCAGATGAAAGATGACATTGATGACTTCAGCAACGCTCACAATGGTGTAGTGTGATCGGAAAGATGATCCACAAAACGACCAAGATATTGCACCTTACCCAAAAAGCGCTGCACATCATTCACACACTTCGGAGTAGGGAACTTTAGAACAGCCACAAGTTTGTCAGGATCAACTTGCAAACCCTCACGAGAAATACGGTACCCAAGATAAGTTGTGTCCTTGGACCCAAACACGCACTTCGACCGCTTCAGCTTTAAACCAACGTCGCGTAGCCAATCCAACACTTTACAAACATCACGAATGTGCTCTTCCCACGTCCCCTCCGAGTGGATCAAGACATCATCAATGAAGTCAGCAGTCACCTCCGGCATATCGCAAAGAACCTCGTCCATCATCCGCTGCAAAGTTGCTGGAGCATTGTTCAAACCAAACGGCATCACCAAGAACTCATACAAACCAAATGGTGTACGAAAAGCAGTTTTAGGAATATCTTCTTCGGCCATCGGTACTTGCCAATACCCAGAAGCAAGATCTAGCTTGGTGAACCAACGACTTCGCCCCAGACGATCCAAGAGATCAGCAGTGTGAGGAAGAGGATACACATCTGGGATTGTCACTTCGTTTAACGGACGATAGTCGATGCAGAAACGAATACTCCCATCAGGCTTCGTCACAAGATGAGGTTCACATGCCCAAGGACTCCGCGACTTCCGAATAACACCCTTTTCCAGCATTTCCTTGACGTTTGCTCGTAAAATTTTGATCTCCTTAGGTGACCGACGACGAATAGGAACCTTGATTGGACGAGCATCCCCGGTGGGAATTGGATGACGTGTGGCAATCTTGGCCCCAGACGATAGGTCAAATTCAAAGAGATCAGAATACTCCTTCATGAGCCGATCAACTGCTGCAACACAAAGATCGTCGGAGGGATCGGAAAAGGGAAAAGCAGAACAAGATGGAAACACAGAAGGAAAGAGTGGGGAAACAAAAGTAATGGAAGCAGAGGTAAAAGTAGAGGGACGAAGAGGTATGGAAGTGAGAGGAATGGATGAAACATAAGGAAGTATGAGACAAAGGGGAGAAGCCTCAAAGTCACACTTGGCATGATTGCGCTGCAACCAATCCATACCAAGAATGAGGTCAAAAGCTTGACTCGGCACCACCTGCAACGACTGCAACTCAAGCTCAAGATCGCCCACACGCACAACCAGGTCCACCTCATCCCGTGCACATGCATGTGTACGGCCGTTGCCATAAAGAATGAAAACTGGTTCTGCCGCACGACGCAAGTGTAAACGACAACGTGTGGCAACAGGTCGAGCAATAGAAGATAAACTTAAACCTATATCAACCAACACGGAGAGAATAATAGGAGACTTCTTGTTATAAAAACAAGCTTGGAAAGTAAACACTGGATGAACTGGTGCCGAGTGAACCCCTTGATGATACTCCCGAAAGAAAGATGGAGGGGTCACTGATTTATTCGCGCAAGGTCCCTCCGTTACTCGCGTGACTCCTCATTTCCCTGATGCATCTCGGTGTCCAGACCTTCCACTGCAGTAGCACCCAGGGGACGTTGTTGATGCCAAGGTCTCCACCCAGGAAATGGAGGTCGCCAATCCGGAAAACGACGGCAACGCCGATAAGTATGACCAACTTCATCACACGCCCAGCAGCGAACATCACGGCCACGACCACGTCCTCGCGCTTGTCCTTGGACTCGAGCAGCAGCAGCATCAACCTCCATTGGAACAGGACCATCACCCATAGGAAGTGGAGCGGAAGGACGTGCAGCGAGAAGTGGAAGAGGCGACGTCTCATAACGTTGTGCCAAGCGAAGAGCATCGTCAAGGGTGGCAGGCAAGTGCATGCACAAGTCCGACAAGATCTTAACGAAGTGCTGGCCACAACATTCCTAGCTTGATCCGCTCCGACATATTTGGCTCTGCACGAAGCAAAAGACTTCGGAAACAAACGCCAAATTGCATCACTGACTTCGATGGCCCTTGGCGAAGACGATGCAATTGTTGGAAAGCATCATCACAATCATCTGCATGTCCGAAGGCGCGTTTGAAGACGTCCGGGAGAACACTCTAATCCCCACGAGTAGCTGCGCTCAAACCATTGTACCATTGCAACACCGTCCCTTGGAGACACGTGGGAAACTCACGCAACCGTCGAGCATCATCCCAAGAATGATATGTGGCAATCACCGTAAAGTGATCGAACCAATGGTACACATCATCCCCAGGATTCCCGCGAAAGAACTCTGGCCGAACGCGAGGATTGACACCAAGAGTAAGAGGAGTTATACCACGTGCCGTGAACGCCGCCATCAACTGAGTTTGGTTGTTCAATTGCAAGCGCATAGCATCAAGCAATTGAACCAACTGCTGCTCTAGAGTCAAAGGAGGAGATTGCGGATCGGCCATGAAAATGAACGAAAAAGAAAGAGCAAAAGAAGAGAAATGACAAAAAAGCTGGAAAGAAATGGTAGATCTAGACAATGCAAAAAGTTAGATCGAAACCAAAATCCTGAAAGGAAAGAACAAAAGAAAGGAGATGGAAAAAGCTAGATCTAGACAATGCAAAAACTAGATTTAAACCGAAATCCCAAATCTAAACACTCCCCAGGGACAATCAAAGGTGCCCCTCTTCTCCACCAATGTGAGTGCATGGAATATGGAAAGGGAATATAGAAATGTGCATATCAATTAGCCCAAAAACCCTAACTTATATACAGGAGCGAGTGGTCCGGATTGAAACCAATCCGACAGCTACCAAAATCCACTACACTAATATTAGTATACGGCATTGTAACCGTACACTTGGCCCTCACAATCTTAAAAATTAAATATTTTATAATAATATCTGGATCAGTTTTCTATAAAAAAAACATTTACACTTTGCTCATACTTATAATAATAATATGAATTTAAAGAACAAAACGTACTTTTCTATATGATAATGTGGTCATGTCTTCACTCAACATGGAGCTTCTTGGGATATATGACTCCATCAAGTTGTAGGCTCTAGGTTACTGGGTGTCGAACAAGGTGAATATCTACACAGACAGTTTGCAGTCACTTAATCTACTGAAGTGTAGAGATCTGGCTGTCACAAGATATATGAGAGCAATGTAGTGGACACCAACTTGAGAAGGGGCAGAAGATCCAACATAGAAAGGGATTGTGAAATATATTTCTTTTTCTAAAAACTAGAGGTAAACATTGAGGACTCTTTATTTGGACCATTTTTACCTTCTTGTTCGCTTCATCGCCAGCTTTGCGCTTGAGAGCATCGTCTCAGAACGTTAAAAGGAACGTGAAGCCCAAAGAAGGACGTGGCGCAACATCGGTGGACCGGCATATTTCACCCTCCTGAGGATTCTATTTCTTCTTCTTTGCTTTGGCGGCTTTGGCCGCCGCTTTCGCTGCCGCCTTTTGAGCCTTGATGATTCTCGGATCGACGAAGCCCGGGTTTTTCTTCTTCATCTTGGCCAGCCACTTCTCGTATTTCTTTTGCTTCTTCTCGGCTTTGATCCTCTCGGCTTCCAGCCTCTCCGCCTCAATTCTAGCCTCCTCCTGCAGTAGAATCAAGCTTACAAGGACGTGCTCAAACAACCAAAGTTTTCTACCTGTCGTCTTCGCTCTTCCTCTTCGAGGCGCTCCCTTTCAGCGTCTTCCTCCTCAATTCGCTTCTGCATTTCCATTGCAAGAAAACGAGATGAGCTACTCAAGTCCAACGGGTTTCGCACCTCTTCTGCTAAGATGGCCTCTCTCCTGGAGAGATCGTAATCCTCCTGCTGTTTTCTCTCGTTTTCTATAGCCTGGAACATTGAAAACTCAGCACGGACTGTGACCGGTCGTTGAAGTGCGGTTCTTCTATTAAGTGTTTCCAGACCTGCAGACGCATCCGGTCTCGCTCCTGAGCTTCTTTTTCAATTTCCAGCCTCCGGAGTGCTTCGGCTTTCACTTGCTCTCTTCCTGATTCTTTGTTCACCATCACCAGCCTCAGCTGAAAGAGAAACCAGAAAAGAAAAGGAACAATGAATAAACATCACGAAAGACAGTGTT